GTCTAGTTGTTCATGAGATAGTTTGCTTAAAAACAAACACACTCCATCTTATGAAGAAAACAAACACACTCCATCTTATGAAGAAAACAAACACACTCCATCTTATGAAGATGCAAAAAAAAGATGTGCATTAATCAACCTGTTCAGTTTAGACTTGAAGTGTGTTTCCACACCAGCCCTGTTAAGTCTGCTTAAATCAAACTCTAGTTTGCCTGGAAGGTCCGGTTCATTTGGGGAGGTGTGAACACATAATCAAACTCTGACTCGGAACAGCAAACTGCTCCGCCTCCAAACCTACTGTAGGTCTCAGTTCGGTTGTAGCAAACTCTGGTGTGGTTTGACTTCATGTGTGAATGCCAAGCCTCTTAGCTTCCTTGAGTGAAAAACAATATTCTCTGTGTTTCTGCCTCATCTTCAGCTCATCCTGAACTCCTTGTTGAAGAGTGTTTGTTTGGCACATTTGCCAAAAACAAAAAATAAATCCTACAACCACTAAAATCTGATGTGACTCCATGTTTGTTTAAATTGTGTGAAAAGGAAGTCATGCTACGTCTTCTTCTGAGGTTTTTTTTTTTTTTGTTTCCTTCAGTGGTTCTTGAAACATAGAATGTAATGTATGTAACATTGCTGATACTTTTAGTTGGAAAAAGCTCAAAACCACAAAGCTTATTTGAGCATTTTTTGTTTATTTGTTCTTTATTTAGGTGTGTACTTTGTGTGTGACGGCAGAAAGGATGGAGCTTACTGTTATGGAGTTGTTGGAAGAACTGTGGACATCCAGCTGTTGAACAACATCTCAGGAATAAACAACATCCAGCTGGACAAGGGCATCTCAGTAATACGGTTATTCAAAATTGACGTGAATAATACTAAATATTATTTTAATCGCAGAAATGGAACATTTAGAATCARCAACCTGAACGAGACTGACAGTGGTCCATATAAAGTTCAACTTTTTAATTTAGATGGAACACAAAAAGAAAAGCGAACTTTTCACTTAACCGTTGAAGGTAAATGCTTTCATTTTTTGAAATACAGAAAAATTAAATATGTCAAGATTTTGTTTTGTACTACCTTTTGTTATTTCTTTTGTTATCCAGGTTATTTTCTGTTGTATTTATATGATCTCTTGTATTCATTTTTTTCTCTCTCTTGTGTTTCTCTGGCCATCAGCTCCATTCCTCAGCCCTGCCTCTCCTCCCACACCTGTTCCTTGTTCTCATTATTCTCAGCTGCAGAAACTCACTCGTTCAGCCTCAGCCCATTTATTCTCTCACCCCTCATTCATTCAGTCATTGTGGTTTGAGGCTGTCTGGTTTTCCTTGTATTTGTACTGCAACTCTCTGTTGTGAAATGAAAAACAGAAAATCTCAGAAAGTGTTTCTCCCTGTTTATTTCCTTATGCAAAAAAAAAAAAAAAAGTTAACTCCCCTGCTGTCTTTGGGTACACATGTTCCCTAAGGCCAAAATCTCAGGTCTCATCTCATGCTGTCATGGACAGCAGGAAAGGTCATCTCCAGTTTGGCAGTATTGATCAGACTTATCTCCTGATCTTTGTTTTAAATAAGCAAAACAAAAAAACTAACCAATAGTTATCGATGTTAACTGATATAAAACACATATTCTGATACATTTACAGCCATCACCCAGCCCTACTTTAACCTCACGCTAATATCGAAACAATTAACTTTAACTGAGACTCAGAGAAGGGGGAGTTTTTGTTTACCAATGTGTTCCTCCTTTTCTCTCTGTTCTTTTAAAAACACTTCATGATTGTCTAACTTACAATATGTCTTTCAAATCAGGATACTCCTCACCCTTAAGAGTTGGGACATTCTCTGCACTGGCAGTTTTCATTGTGTGCATAATAGTCATCTGTGCTCTGAGGAAAAAACAAAGAATAGGTACAAATT